CTGCTGTGACAAAATACTCTGATCAATACCAACTTGGGGAGGAAAGGGTTTATTCAGCTTACATCTCCCAGGTTGCAGTTCATCAGGGAGCCCAAGGTAGGAAGTCAGGGCAGGAACCTAGAAGCAGGAGCTGGAGCACAGGCCATGGAGGAACACTGCTTACTGGCTTGCTCCCCTGGCCCCTGCTCAGCCTGCTTTCTTATGCTACATAGGCCCACCTGCCCAGGGGTGGCACAACCCACAGTGGGCTGGGCCCTTCCACATCGCTCATCAAGAAGATGCTCCTCAGACATGGCCACAGGCTAATCCAATAGAGGCAATTCCCCAATTGAGGTTCCCTCAACCCAGGTGTGTCAAGTTGACACTAAAGCTATCCCGCACAGGAGGGTAGCCCTGGGGGTACATTCATCCCAGTCCAGGTATGCTGAGTTTAGACCTCTAGTCTCCAGAACTGTGACAGACACATTTCTGCAGTCTTCAGTGACCACATACGTGGTTGCAGCACTCACAACGAACAAGTCTTAATAAATTTCAGGATTGGTATGCTTAAGAAATTCTAACAGTAGGTAAAGGAGTGAGAAATCAGTAGGAAAAAGAAAATGTCAGCTATGTATTGGATATTTAAAACTTTTCTAAATAAAAGATTAATGATCATATATATAAACGTTGAAAATACTTGAAAGTGAGTAAAACTAGAATCCTTCAAATTAAAATTGACTACAATGAAATCAGTATTTTGTCTGAAATTTAAAACTCTACATTAGAAAATAAGATTAACAATAAGCTAACTTCCAATTTAAGAAATTAGAAGAAACACCATCAATCAATAAAAAAGAAAGTAAAAACAAGAATTAATGAACTAGAATACAAAAATTATAAAGAAGGGGCCAACAAAGGCACAAGTTTAAAGGAAAGAGGCATAAAATGATGAAGAATTACAGGAACCAGAGCTACATGCGGTGATGACACCTTGGTGAGTATGACTTACAGGCATGAACAAGGCCCACAAGCACTAACAACAGAATCTGTTACTAAAACATTCTCACAGAGCCAATGCTAAGTGCAAATTGTTTTTCAAGTTAGCTTTGCCAAACAGTCGAGGAAAGACCAGGCCAAATTTATATAAATTCCTTTAAAAATTTAAAAGATGGCATATTCCTCAACTCATTTTATGAGTTCTTATATCACTGATATAAATTTTAAATTATAAGAGAACCATACATAAAACCATACATAAAAACTTAAATGATCAAACTGGGTTCATATAACAGGTACAAATCTATTACTGGGACATAGGAGAAATGTTTACGGGTAAGTACTATGATGTTTGTAATTTTCTATGAAATGGTTCAGGAGAGTAAAGGAACAGAAATGGAAAAAATATATAGCAAATGTTGACAACTGTTCGACATAGATACACACCAGGAGACATGGATGGGAATGTTCTCAGAGGAAACATTATACAAAGATCTATCTTATAGGAATCAAGGTAACTAAGCTAGAGTGAGACACATATAATCAATTTTAAATATAGAATACTGAGTGAAAATGCAAGTTGTAGAAGACTACACAGAGAACTGATGATTTTTATAAAACTCAGAATGAAGTTAATAGTGCTAAGGCTATGTGTATCTTATATGTATACATACACATGACACTATAAAAACCAAAGATGGATCCATGTCAGAGCAATGGTCCTTTAGTATACACAGAAAATCGCCCCAGGATCCCCTGATGATATAAAACTCCTTGGATGCTTAGGCCCCATATAAAAAAAGGTCACAGTATGTCTATAACCCATCTACATCTTCTCATATACTTTAAACAATCTCTAGATTACCTATTATAGACAAAACAATGCAATTACTATGTAAATAGTTACTGCATTATTTTTTTTTAAGGAAATAATGGCAAGGCAAATGTGATGGCTAATGTAATGGCTGGGTGTCAACTTGACTGGATCTGGGATTAACTAAAATGAGAGAGATCTTGATTGAATCAACTGAAACTGGAAGACACACCCTAAATGTGTGTTACCTTCTGATGAGAGCCCTTATAAAAGGCCATGGCTTTTTGCTGCTTGCCTTCTCTCTTGCTGGTGAGTTTGTCTTGGTGCTGTAGACTGAAGACTAGCCAATCTTTTGGAATTCATCAGACCTTCAGTGGTAGATTGGGACTACTGAGACATCCAGCCTCATGGACTGAGTGACTACTGGTTTCTCAGCCTCTCCCGTATTGAACTACTTGCTGAGCAACTACCCTCAGCCTCTCCAGTGTGGTGCAGCCATTGTTGGACTACTCAGACTCTATCCTGTGAGGTACTCTGATAAATCCCTATATATATATATTCATTCTACTGGTTTTGTTTCTTTAGAGAACCCTAATACAGCAAAACTGTATCTATTCAGGGCAGGTGCATTTTCTTCTCAAATATTTTTGATCTCAGATTGGCTGAATGCACAGTGTGCAATTTGCAGATATGGAGGCTGACTGTAGGAGTTCCTCTTGGGACCATATTGAGGAGGTAGTGAGTAGGTGAGGCAGAAGCATGCAGATTAGTAATGTTCTAGTTCTTAAATTCAGAAAAAATCCCCAGGTGTTCACTTCTTTGCTATGCTGTGAAGAGTGTGTGTGTGTGTGTGTGTGTGTGTGTGTGTGTTATACATAGGTATTACATAATAAATACTGCATAGAAATGCTTTGTCAACTTGACACACCTGGGTAGAGGGAACCTCAACTGAGGAATTTCCTCCATTGGATTGGCCTGTGGCCATGGCTGTGGGCATTTTCTTGATTTTGAGTGATGTGGGAGGGTCCAATCCACTGTGGGTGGTGCCACTCCTGGGCAGGTGGTCCTGTATTGTATAAGAAAGCAGGCTTGTGGGTGGCGCCACTCCTGGGCAGGTGGTCCTGTATTGTATAAGAAAGCAGGCTGAGCACAGGTTAGAGGAACAAGCTAGCAAGTAGTGTCACTCCATGGTCTGTGCTCCAGGTTCCTGCTCTGAATTTGTGCCTTGGCTTCCCTTGATGATGCACTGTGCTGTAAGCCAAATAAACCATTTCCTCCCCAAGTTGTTTTTGATCAGTGTTTTGATCACAGCAACAAGAAAGAAACTAAGACAGATGCCCTCACATAGCATAAGGTCTTCGTCCAAGAATCTGATTGGGAATGACCTAGCCAGGGGTTTTGCCCACCCACCAGTAGTCAAGATGGGTCTCTCATTTTAACCACCCAAAAGGAAAATATAACCAAAGAGTAAAGTGATCAGTATATTGCATTAAGAGTTCAGGGATTACACTTCCCAGACATTAGGTTTAATTCCATATAAAATGTTATTTAGACAATTATTTCTCATTGATGATTTTGTTTCTAAGCAGAATGTAAGACTTCAAATCTTGGTTCAAATCTTGGTCTCCAATACTGTGTTGCCCACCTGTAGCTAAGGGAGACAACCGCTATTGTTGTAAAATGATGGATAAATTTGTTTTCTCCCCCTATCTAGAAGCCTTTGAGAGGGAACTGACACTGATTCTAAACACTCCAACAGCTATCAAAATACCTGAAAGCAAATCCTGAATCCATCACTCTAGAGTCCAGCCTTGGAAGAC